TAGAGGGGTCCACCTGGAATAGAGGTAGTCGGGATCAAGTGGTTCCTAGGTAGGAAGAGCCTCCTTACAGGGTGGAGCATTGTGGTACACAATGGTAGTTTAGCTGGACCAGACTGTTTTAATGTACCAATGGTCCCTGCATTAGTCCAAAGATACCACACTGGCTTGAATGGCCTATCATTCTGTCTCCCCAGGTTTGCCCATCAGTTCCTAGATCCAGGCACCTACGTGTTTCAAGACAATGGGAAGCCTGAGAATATCGCAGTGGTGTTGGTGAAGGAAGAGGGGGCAGCTTGTGGTGCTGGTCTGTCCCCAGTGCAACCCTCTTCTCCGTATCAGCTCGGCAGGCTTGGGGTTCTCAGACACAGGATGCTGACCCTAGGCCCAGATTGGGCGGTGATCACAGGTACCAGTTCAGACACGATGGCCGGCCGGGACCAAGGGTCTGTAATGGGACCTACGGGCAGGGTTGTAATATGAGCCAGCCCTTCGGTGATTCTGGATCCAGCCGCAGAGATGGCTCTTGGCCTTGAGTGAGGGTGTCAATTGCATGTAATGATATCTGAATTTCCCCCATTTGGAGTGGTCTTTCTCATCCCCTTTCCTTCAGCCCCGAAGCAATTGGTCCTGAGAATAGAACTTGGGAGCAGGGCCATGATTGGAGTCAGGGAAGAAGAGATCCCTAACACCACTTCCTGCTTGAATTCATCATCCACAATCTGAGCTTTCTGGGTTGGGTTTTGAGACCGGGAGAAACCTAACCCTGCCCATTACTGCCCCGTCACTACTGAGACGAGGTCAGTGAACGCTGTCTGCGGACCCAACACAAAGCCCTTCCTTTTCCAACTCTCAGGGGTGCTACTGGCTGCTGGCTTGGCGACAGCTCTGCTCACTGGCCTTGGCCTACTTCTGAAACCTGCTGTGCCTCCGGCCTGCCCCACAAAGTCTTGTGGATCTCAGTGGAGAAGCTTGGGGCAGCCTCCTACTCCTGCTGCGCCTGTGTCTGTCAGGGACAAGTAAGCCCTTCCTCTATGCGTCTGCCTTAGACCAGCCCCACCTAGCGGCTGCTGTAAGCACCGCTTGTCACTCCCAAGAGCCAGGCACTGCTGAGCTTTGCCTTGGTCCTGTGAACTCTGGACAGAGTAACTTCCAGTGACCTATGAGGTCCCCACCAGAGGAATTCAGCACGTGTGTATCTGCATACCGAAGCCAGATCTTTCCTCCAGCCTCCTGTCCTACGAAGACCTTGCTCCTTGGGGCTCAGGGGAAGAAGCTGATTCTAGGGAAAAGGACATGACTCGGGGTGCAGGTACCTTGTTGGCTTGCAACAAGTTCCGTTCTCTCGGCCCACATCCCAACACCTTCCCCAGGCATACTCTTTGGGCACAGTGATTCCTTTGCCTACAATACCAACAAGTCATAAGATACTTTATTCATCCATCTGAGCTTCCCATTGGTACTAACAAGTGAGTGTTCCAAGGTGTTGACCCCATGTTACAAATGGCTGAGGGCAAGAAATATGAGCATTTGGGGGTCCTCAGCCAGCATGGTGTACAGAGACAGTCACCCTGGGTTTGAGGCAAGGCTATCCAATTGTTACCATGTTAGCCAATTCTTCTATAGCCAAGGACAATTCTCTGAATGTCCTTGGCTCGGCTCAGGAGCAGGGAGGAGAAATGCTCTCATTCTAAGGGGAACATTCCATCGGTTCTACTCAGGGTGCAGTGCTTAGCAAGCCCTTAGCAAGCAGGCATTGTGAGTGAAGGGCAGGGTGGAGAGACTTCTGGAAGGAGACCTTTCCCCTGCTTGGCATTCCAGTTCTCCCATATCTTTTGCAAAGTACTCTTTGCTTGGTAGAAGCCATCCTTGGGAGGTTGAGGTGTTCCTCATGGTGATTTCCATTTGCTTTTCCCTGATGACTAAAGACAGTGAGCATTTCTCCACGCACATCTTGGATATTTGCATGTCCTTCTTGAATGAAAGTCTAGTTGAGGTCTTTGCTCATTTTGAATTAGGTTATTGGTCATCTAGGTTTAGGACTTCTCTATATATTCTAGATATTAACCCATTACCACATATGTGATTTGAAAACTTTTTTTTCCCAAATCTCTAGATTGCCTTTTTAATCTGTTTAGAGTGTCTTTTCTCAACTAAGAGATACTAGGGTACTGGGAGACAGAGCTGAGACACAGACCACCTGAGGGACTTGCAGACTAGCAGAGAAAATGGAACACACACAAGACACTGTGTTTGGTAGCTTGTTTGTTTTAGGTGCTGGGCAGTAAACACAGTGCCTTATGCCTGCTGAACATGTATTCTATCATTGACCTGACCTCCCGTCTTCAGGATCTTTGAGATGTAATTATTTTGGGTTAAATGATGTCCATACTGTATTTCCCATTATTGCTGCCTCTAATATTGATATTGGATCAAAGACAAACCCAACATCATGAAGGATTTGTGGGGATTTTTAGTCTGAGTGTTTTATTATTTTAGGTTCTACAATCAGGTTTTTGGGCCATTTTGCTTTACTTCTGGAGGTGGTATTAGGTAAGGTCTCAGAATGGTGCCTTGACACTTGGACATCCAGTTTTCAGAGAACCATTTATTAAAAAGACTGTCCATTTCCTTGGAGGGTTCTCGGAGCCTTTACTGAAATCACATGACCCAAGATGCAAAGATTTCCTTCAGGGCTCATCCTTGCTGGTTACAAGTCTGGCTGGATTTTCTATTTCCTCATGAGTCAGTTTTGGTGTGTTTCCTGTGTCTAGCAGGTTGCTCATTGCACCTGAGTTATCTGATTTGCTGGCTCAGAATTATTATAGTACCCTTACAATCCTTTTGTTTTCTGAAGAACGAGTGATAATATCCCCATTTTCACTTCTCATTTCAGGGATCTGTGTCTTCATTTATTCTTTATGAATACATACACACATATACACAGTGTCGCTCTTTTCAATGAATGAACTTTTAATTTAATCTCTGTTGCTCTCCTTGTCTTCATCTCAAATGTCTTTTCTCTCTGCACCTGAGACAAGCCTCTGCTGCCTCAACTTTTTGGTTTGTCACCCTCAATGCTTTCCTTCTACCACAGCCTCCCACGGTTGTCTACACCCTAGGTTGTGGCAGGTTGACCTCAGGCTCTCTGATTTGTGTCATCTATTGTTCCCTGTTGACCAGCCCTCAAAGTAGCTAAGTCTTTCTTTAGGCTTCTTCAGGCTACCCCACTGAAAGTGGGCATTGAAAGACTACTTGGGATAAAGTGTTTCATTGAACCGAATGCTGCGACTCTGAGGCAGGCAGTGCAAAAATGTGGCTTCTGTTGGGCTCTCCAGTCTTAAATATTAGATGCTGTCTCAAGGTGGCTCCCAGCCATAGCCCCTCTGGTGCATGGAGAATGGCCAAATCCTACATACAGAGTTCCTCACTGCTCATGACCCCACCCACTGGAGCAGTGGCTGCATCACAAATCCCCCGCTGTATTCAAGGCTTAGAGAGAACTGTGGGTTTGTCCCTTGGGTGAGACTGTTCATCTCTTCACTGGAGACACCAGGACTGCCTTCTGGAGGAGGTGTCTGTTTGCCCTCCACCACCCAGAAGCATGACGTTGGAACCGGGTGCAGCTTGCTCCTTTCCTTTGCATTGCCCTTCTGTTTCCCTGCACTTTGTCACTGCCCTGTCACCCTGTGTGGTCTCCAGTGCTCTTTCCCACATTGCCTTCTTGGAAATAGACACTATTCTTTGTCAGCCTGTCGCTTTCGCTGGCCGCGTCACCCCAGGGCAGTCTCTAATCTTCCATCTTACCCCGAAGTCTCGAAATCACTCTTCAATTATGGAGAAATCAGGGAATGAAGTACAAATCAAAGTTACAATAGCATAGTATTGGTCTCTCAAAGGAGAATCAAAGTTAACTGGCGAGATTTCCCCACACTCTGGAGACTCTCCAGTTCGCAAGTCCTGGGATTTTAAATATGGAATCCTGAACAGTAGCTACAATAAATATCATCTTCCTCAACTGAGTACTTGCTAATCGTTAAAGTCTTCATTTTTCTCTTTAGCTTCAAGCTATCCTCTAACTGCAAGTTACTGTCCAGAACCCTTTCATGTCACCCTGCAAGGCTCCTGTGGTCATCTCTATATAGCAGGTGCAGTGGTGACAGACACTTTCTGCTTCTGTGTCTAATTCTCCAGGAAGTTCATCATTGCATCCTCACTTTTGAAGACTCGTGCTTCTGGATACAGCATCCTGGTTTTTCTTCAGTACTTTGCGCATCGCAGCTGGAAAGGGGGCTTTGTCATCCCGTGTCCTCTCTTTCAGAGTCGAATAGGTGGAAGGGAAGAGGTCTGGGGCCATAGAAAGCCACCCTGGGACTTGTGAGGGTCCACTGGAGCCAGAGGCTGGGGAGGCAGTAACCTTGATTCTTCCCATACTGAAGTTGGCTTGGGTCACATCCCTTGCCAAATAAGTGCTCAGTGAACTCAATGCTGTGGGGGCGCTCATATGAGGTGCTGGAGAAGTCCAGCTAGACATGAGTCATTAGGGCTGTGGTGTCAAAGGAGGGTGTGCACAAAACACCATAGCTGTGAGAACACGGACGGCAGCGTGAGCTCATGTGCAGGAGAGAGGAGAGCATGAAGCATCAGGCAAGGCGTCATAGGACACCACATGGCTCCACTAGGAAAGTTGAGGCAGCTATGGAACAATCAAGGCCCCGTTAAGTCACAGCCACACAAGATAACTTCTCCCCCTATCACTTACTACACATAAGGCCCTCAGTCCTCTTCCCATCAGGCCTCACCCTCCTTCTCCAGTGCTGACTAGGGTGGGAAGCAGCTGGTTTTCTCTTGCAGGTGGGCCTTCCTTTCTGCTGCTCACAAAGCCCCAGGGAGGGAGTTGTACCTGCCCAGCCAGGCCTCCCCACCCCCACCTCCTTCCCCTCTCCCTGCTCATCCACAAGTCTCACTCCAAGATCTCCCCTTGTAGGGGAACCACCCCAGGTTATGACGCTGGAGGACTTCAGTGTGCGCACACTCTACGACAAACTGGAGGACCAGAGTCTGCACATAGCTGCTCAGCTGAGTAGGCACAGACAGGATGCATTGGCCTTCTACAGGGCTGCCAGCCAGCAGCTACAGGGACTCCAGGTCAGCTCCGCTCCTTTGTGGGCAACCACTCAGAAAGCAACCACTGCTCTCCTGACAGCCTAAGCCCACAGGACTCCCACTACGAAGAGGTGACACAGCTCTGATTCTCCTAGGATTTTCTGCAGGGCATCAGACTGACGGAACTTTCATCTCTGGTCAGGGACAAACACTCTGAGCCAGGGGTCAACACCCAGGTGGAAACAGCTACTGGAGGGAGTGGGGAATCACAGGAAACAAGAGTCAGTCACACGGCCGCATCTCAGACGGACTCCTGGCAGCTTGCTCCAGGTGAGAGGCAGGTGTGTCTGGGGAGGGTCAGCAGTAGAGTCGCAGTATGAATACTGTCTCCCTAAGTGTGCAACTCCACTTAGCCATCTCGAGTGGTACTCAACTCACAGTCTCAGGAGACAGTATCAGCCCCCTTGTAGTCTGAGGGTATGATTTAGAGTGATGTAGATAGCAGGGACACCATTGATATGTACTGCAAATATCACGAGGACCGCAGGCCCTGATGCTGGAGGGCTGACCTTGGGGAAATGAGTTGAAAATTGGGTCAGACATTCATCAGAAACCTTTCTCAACCCCTTTCAACCCTCCCACCCCACATGGGGATTTGACGCTTCTGTGACATTCTTTCTATGCCAGTTCTTTCTTTCTTTCTTTCTTTCTTTCTTTCTTTCTGTCTGTCTGTCTGTCTGTCTGTCTGTCTGTCTGTCTGTCTGTCTGTCTTCCTTTCTTTCTTTCTTCCTTCCTTCCTTTCTTTCTTTCTTTCTTTCTTTCTTTCTTTCTTTCTTTTTTTTTTGACTTCTGGTTAGTATACTCCCATCTTGTCCTTCTCTGACCTATTATTGAGAAGAGGACCAAGGAAACCTGTTTTCTCTGAAAGTTTCCCAAGACAAGCTGTAAAGCTGTGTCCAGATGGCCCTGTTGCAAAAGGAGCAGTGTGCTGCGTTCCTGCCATGATCCCGGCTACGTGGCTAGTTTACATAATTACAGGGAAAACTATATTCTTTTAAACACTGCCTAGCCCATTATCTCTAGCCTCTTTTTGGCTAACTCTCACATCTTGACTAACCCATATCTAATAATCTGTATGTCACCAAGAGGTTGTGGCTTACCGGGAAAGATTCAGCATGTCTGACCTGGCAGCTTCATGGCGGGTGGCTCTCTGCCTCTCCCTGACTCTGCTTTTTTCTCCCAGTGTTATGTTCTGTCTATACAACCCACCTATGTTCTGACCTCTCAGGCTAAGCAGTTTCTTTACTAATTAGCCAATAAAAACAACAGATAGATAGAAGACCCTCCTACATCATGGCCCCAACTATCTTGGATGCTTCCTGAAAGGATGTATTGGGAGGCTAGATGAAGCTCATTTCCATTCTGGACCATTGCATACTGCAAGGCCTAGGACTCAGGATTTTCCTTGGTAAGGGATCATGCCCCCATGCCAAACAATGGCACATGAAGTTCCATCAAACAGAAAAAAAAACAATTAATCTCTCCTTGGAAGAAGTTTTCTCTACAGTCCAGGAAAACCTCCTGGGTGGAATGCCATGCTCTCTCTGTCAAGCCCCAGGAGGCTACAGGTTATAATGTCATAGTGCCATCGAGTGTGGGAACAGAGGGAGATGTGTCTGCAGGGACGCATGGTGAGCAGAGCTAGAAAGAGGGAAAGGGGAAATAAGGAGAAGAAACCACACACACACACACACACACACACACACATATGATCAGCAGATCCATGAATATTTTATTGTTAAACACAATCAAGAAACAGTTTGACACTCAGAGATGTTGAAGGAATGGCGGGCTGCTTCCCGCCACCCGCCCAGCTAGCTTTACCCAAAATAATTACATGGAAACTGTATTCTTTTAAACACTGCCTGGCCCATTATCTCCAGTCTCTTACAGGCTAACTCTCACATCTTGACTCAAACCATTTCTAATAATCTGTATGTCACCACGAGGTCGTGGCTTACCGGAAAGATTCAGCATGTCTGACCTGGCAGCTTCATGGCGGGCGGCTCTCTGCCTCTGCCTGACTCTGCTTCTTTCTCCCAGCATTCTGTTCTGTCTATACCACCCACCTATGTTCTGACCTATCAGGCCAAGCAGTTTCTTTACTAATTAACCAATGAAAGTAACACATAGACAGATGACCCTCCTATGTCACAGAGGGAAGAGATCATGTGCACATCCATGCATAAAGCACCTCGACATGTGATCAAGGCTCTGTCCACAGCATCTAGCACAGTAAAGTGGCTATCTCGTCAAGAGAGGGACAGAGTTTGGTGTGGCACAGAAGGAAAAGGACAATGAGAAGGGGAGGGGCATGTGCTTAGAAACCACATGGCTAGAAACCAAAGAACCGTGAAAGTGGGTGTTAGGTGGTGCTCCCTTTGCTAGTCTGAGGTTCCTCTGTTCTTTCTTCTTCCCTAGACTGTCCTCCAAGAATCTCTCCCTGGGGCTTTCAGCCAGAGCTCAACAGAGCCATCACTGCCCTGGCATCAGTACTTTCTCAGGTTCGAGAGCCACCAGTTGGGGCCAGCAGAAAGGTGAGAGGCCACTAGAAGCAACTGAATATACCTGTATGATCAGGACCCCTTGCCAGTCACCCTTGCCTTGTGGAGTGAAGTAGTACCCAAGAACCTATGATGCATGCATGTACCTATGTGTGAGCAAAACAGATTGCCTTTGAGGCTAAGTGGGACCCATGAGCCTTTGGTGCATGCATGCACCTGTGTGTGAGCAAAACAGACCATCTTTGGAGCTAAGTGAGATCCACAGGTCACCATGCATTCACATATCCATAAACAATATACACCAATAACCACACACATACGCACATTCACATACTCCCTGAGACCTTGACCATGTACTCTAGCCAGAAATCCCAGGGCTCAATTTGTGCATATAGACTATAACACTCTGTTCTCCCTAGGCCTCTAGTCAACATGATGAGCAGTCTTGCGTGATGAGCAGTGAGGACTCACCCACGGCGGGACAGCCTCTGTTCCATGACCAGGAACCTCGGAGCGTAAGGTGGGGCAGGACTGGCCTGATGCACAGCTGCTCCCAGAGACAACCTTTAGATCCTTGATAACGACCATCATATCTTTCACAGTGCAACTGGACTTGAAGCCTTAAGGCATTCAAATCCAGCTACAAAGTGTGGAGGTTCTTTATGCCCACTGAGGCTGTCCTTGTTTGTTATGGGTGTTTACTGACAGCATTTACTGAAATGTTCTGACCTTTGAGACTGAGCCCACTTGACTCCGGCAGACCTCAGACTTCATGTTACAGCCTACCTTATTCTCCTTCTCGTCGTCATATCTTCTGAATTTCCCCCTGGGCATCTCTCACTACCCTTCCCCTAGACCCACCCAGGGCCTGTAATGAGCTCATTTGCTTATGTAGATTGGATTTCTCTATTTATCTGTTTATTATATCTATATGTCTGTTACATTATTTTGTGTATGGTGGGGGATATGTCACGTGTATGCTATGGCTCATGCCCTGAGGGCAGAGAACAATTCGTGGGAGACTGTCCTCTTCTTCTACCAGGGACTGAAGTCAAATTGTTAGACTTGGTAGCAAGTACCCTTACCTGCTGAACCATCTAACTGGCCCAATTTATCCACATGATCTGTATTTCCCTCCTCTGCTTTTCAAGACCGGAAGTGGTAATTACTGTTGATTGCTGACATATACATGGTGATAAATGAATGCTTTACATGCTATCCATACTTGCTATCCATACATGCTGTGCATACATGCTGTGCATACATGCTATGTATACATGCTATCCAGTTTAATCCTCACAACAATAGGAAGTAGTTACTGCCACTACCTTATTCTAAATGTAAGGACACTGAGTTTCACAGAGGTTCAATATCATGGATTGAGAGTACATGTGTCTCAAGACCCATATGTACTGAAGGTTGGCTCCTGTCTCCCTTCCTTGGAAACCATGGTCAGCCTCCCTTTCAGAAGCGCCCACTATTGGGTGGGAAGGGACCTAGACAGTGAGCAAATAGCTAGCATCTCTGGTAGGCAGGGTAAGAGAATCTGGAATCTCCTCTTAATATAGTGGTTCTCAACCTGTGAGTGGCAACCCCTTTGGGGGGGCATCAAATGACCCTTTCATAGGGTTCACCTAAGATCAGAAGAAAACACAGATATTTACATTATGATTTGTAACAGTAGCAAAATTACAGTTATGAAGTAGCAATGAAAATATGGTTGGGTCACCACAATATGGGGAACTGTATTAAACGGTCACAGCACTTGGAATGTTGAAAATCACTGGCCTAATATCACGGGACCTAGTCCTTAAAGAGCTAGGATTCTACTGATTAGGACCACATAAATGGAAGAAACGCTGAGACTCTGGAGATCCAGGTTCCTGGCTGGATGCACACTGAGCTAAAGCTTTCTCCTACCAGTTTTCTTAGAGACTAACAGGCTCATGCATGAGCACGTATCCTGACCCTTGATGCATGATGCTGTGAGGTGTGGTGACACACACCTGTAATCCCAGCATTTTGGAGACTGATAAAGGAGGAGATCATATTGAGTGTGAGGCCAGCCTGAGCTGTATAGGAAGATTCTATCTTAAAGTAAGGAAAAAAAATCCTAAAGAGGAAGAAGTTATAAAGAACAGGTCTGACACTGCAAAATTTCTAAGTCAGGGAATGCACATACAGAAGAGAGAGTCCTAGTTTAAAGACATCTGCAAAGGTTCAGCAAAAAAGGTCAATGTCAATGAGATCATTTGAGATGGGCATTTAATTAAAGGTGAGGTCTTAAATTGCCACAATGGGTGGAAGGTGTTCTTTGACCAAGACATCAGATGAGAAAGCTGAGGTGTGGCTTATGAGTGACCTTCCAAAAGGGCCAAGATTTTGTAGCTAGCCCCGCCCCTTTCATTTCAATGTCCAGAAGGAGATCAAGAATCTATGGAGAGCACAGCACTGCTAGAAGCTGATGCCAGTAGCTATCAACTGGCGTGTTGTGCATGGGAGCTTGTGACCAATAAGGCAGGAGGGAGGACATGTAGACGGGACAAAGTGTGTGACCATATGTCAATGTGATAATAAGTGAAGCCTGGAAGGGGTCATAGAGCAGAACCACCTCAGCCAACCCCTGGGCAGTGGCGAACAAAAGCTGCTACTTCATCCAGTTTACACTGAGGTAGGTTTTCCTATTGCATGTAGAACTTAAATGGGACCTTTCTTTCCCTCATTCACAGACCCAAGCAGGCCCCAGAACCTCTCCAGATCCCCCAGGAAGACACTGAAGGAAGGGATGCTCAGACTCCAAGTCCTGCGAAGTGGATCCTTGGGGCTGGACTCAGACATAGACCCGATGTGGAGTTGCAGGTAGGTACATCCCTGGAACTCAGGCCACGTTCTCCACCCACCTTGCCACATCCTCCCTCTCAACCCTGCTCGTTACCTAGTCACTTTGCAAATCTGGAAGACAGAAATCAAGCACAATTTTGGAGAAAAGTGACAAGAAGAAATATTTTATGACTACAGAATGCTATTCAAGGGAATCATCCATTTAACTAACATGTACTTAGTAACTGGCTGCAATATTCTCAAAGACAGGAAATGGAAGTCTATGAGACTTAAAAGAATTTCAGGCCATGAGACAAACATTTCAGCTTTCACACACAAGTTAGGTCATTTGCCCTTTTGTGTCTGGTGTATTTAACTTTCACATAAATATCCTCCAATTCCTGTCATTTTGTGGCTGGTAATATTCATATATATGTATATACATTTATGATGCTTTATCTATTGATCTATCAGTGGGCACTTAGGTTGATGCTATTATCTTAATGCCATATATAATATTTAACAGACACAAGAGTGTAGATGTGATTTTTTTCTTTAAATTTTATTCTTATTCAGTTTTCTTTAAATTTTATTTCTTCCCAACTTCAGCTTCCTGCCGCTCTCCACTCCTCCCAGTCTCCTTTCACCTCCCATCTCCCCTAAATCTACTCCTCTGTTTCCCTTCAGTAAAAACATTAGGCTTCCTAGGAATTTCAACCAAATGTGGCATAACAAATTACAATAAACTCCATATCTGTGGGTATAAGGACAAATGTCTACAGATTGTTTTTAGTGATTAGACTTTGGCCATCACTTTGTATATTTGAGGGAGGAGACAAGGCTTGAGACAAGGTTCCATGTAACCCAGACAGCCTCAGACTTGCTGAGTAGCCAACGATGCCCATGAACTGTGACTCTCCTGCAACTGCCTTCTGAGTGCTGGGGTTATAGGTGTGTGCCACCACGCCTAGTTCGTAGTATGTTTTATTATTTTTTAATTATTATTTTACATGTATGGGTGGTTTTGCTTGCATACTGTAGCTGTACAGCATATGTGCCTGATATCTCTAGAGGTCAGGAGAGGGTGTTTGGTTCCTTGAAATTAGGATTGCAGGTGGTTGTGAGCTACCATGTGAGTGCTGGAAACTGAACCTGGGTCCTCTGCAAGAGTAACAAGTGTGCTTAACTACTAAACTATTTCTTTAGTCCTGTGTTGTTTGTTTTAAAGTAAGGTATTGTAATACCTCTTTTGTTAAATCTCTCGATTACTTTGACTGTTTATGGTCTTTTTTACTCTATTCAAGTTTTATGGGTGTTATTTTTATGTGTATATTTGTGTAAATATATTCACATAAGGGTATATTTATGTGGCTAACATTATTGGTGTTTTGACAAAAAATCATACACTAAATCAGTACTTTGTTTTGGAAAGTATGGACACTTTATCAATGCTAATTTTTTAAATCCATGAACATGGGCATTCTCTCTCTCTCTCTCTCTCTCTCTCTCTCTCTCTCTCTCTCTCTCTCTTTCTCTCCCCATTCTCTTCTAGTGCTTTTATTGAAGTTTTTCAATTTTCATAATAGAGATCATTCACATACTTGGTTAAATTTATCCCTAGGTATTTGATTAATAGATATGTGAGTGAAGTTTCTTTCATAATTTCTTCCTGAATTTTTTACATTTGTTTTTGTTTCCCCCCTCTCTGTTATGTGTGTGTGTGTGTGTGTGTGTGTGTGTGTGTGTGTGTGTGTAGGTGCACAGGTACCATAGAGTACACATGGAGGCCAGAAGATTGAAGTTACAGAAGGTTGTGAGCAACCACGTGGCTGCTGGGAATTTAACTCATTTGCCTGTTTTGACTCAGTTTCGCACTTTGTAGGCAGGCTGGCATTGAATGCATGATAACACTCTTGCTCAGGATTCTGAGTTCTGGGATTACAGGCACAAGCCATTATACTTGACTTAGCTTCTTGTCCGTTACAACTTTAGCCCAAACTCAGTAGCATGATCAGCTCTGCCAGGGAGTCTGAAACACTTCTTTCCCAGAAGGGTATATTGCCACAGCTCCACCATGTGTGTTCTATTAACCAGGAAGATTCTGCAGTTGTAGTCCTTGCTGATCCCTCAATACCGGGAAGAACACACAGGCCCTGGGTGCCCTGCTGTCCCTGGCCCCCAAGTCTTCCTTTCTCTAGCATCCTCTTCCACTTTCCTAAGCAAATACGATGCTACCAAACTTAAGCTACTTCCCACAGCAATCTGAACATCTTTTCAAACACTATTTGCTACATATAAACTCTTACCTGTGTGTTCGTTGTTCTTGATAGACTACAAACTCAGAAGTTCACTAATGGAGTCCCAACACTGAATATTGCCTTAAGACACCAGAGGTGTTCAGTAAAGGTCTCTTTTTGAAAATTTAAGAAGGTTTATTTTTTATTTCATGTGTATGAGTATTTTCTCATATGGATGCCTGCAGATCATGTGCAAGCCTTGTGTCCATGGAAATTAGAAGAGGGCACTGGGTTACTTGTAACTGTTCTATGGACGGTTGTAAGGCACCACATGAGTTTCTGGGAACTAAACTGAGGTCCTCTAAAAGAACACTAAGTACTCTTAACTGCTGAGCTAGTCTCTCCAGACCCTCAGTCAGTATGTCTTTATCAGGGAGGGAACGAATGAAAAATGATGCAGAGCGGGTAGAGCGGAGTAGATATACGTGCGGGTAGGTGCAAACATAGAGTGATGTTTGAGAAGATGAAAAGATGAATAAGTAAGTAGACGGATGGAGGGATGGTAGATGGGTATGCAGAGGGATAAACGGATGAACAGTGGGTGAATGGATGCTGATGTGAATGAACAGGCTGATAGGTGGGTGAGTGGGTGGGTGGGTGGACAGGCAGCTAGCTGGATAAGCATGCCCTGTACTCTCCTACATCTCTGGCTATTGTAAAACGCTGTTCTCTTTAGCTTATGCTATCTTCCCCCGACTCTCCATCCAGGTATCTCCTGTCTGTTTTTACATATTCAGTTGAAATTTCCTCTCTCAGACCTCACTTCCTGGCTAGGCATCCTTTTAGCTCGGCAGTCTAGCACATTTCTTTACAATAGTCTTTCCTGCAGGTTTTCATTGACTCAACAGGTTCTGAGCTACCTGGAGATGAGGTTCAGCGATCGAGTGCTTTCTTAAAGAACCTAGACCTAGTTATTCAGCACCAAATGCAGTCATTGGATGCTTGCAGTGGTACATACCTATTGCCTGGTCTACTAGGGTACCCAAGGAAAGATCTGTTGAAGTCAAAAGTTCAAGGCCAGTCTTAGAAACATAAAGGCTGAGCCAAGAAAGGAAGGAAGGAAGGAAGGAAAGAAGGAAGGAAGGAAGGAAGGAAGGAAAGAAGGAAGGAAGAAAGGAAGGAAGGAAGAAAAACAAATAATTTTCCTGCATTCCAGAAAAAGACATGGCAGGTGGAAGAAGCTCTGGATGAGCTGAATGAGGAATTCTTTCGGCTCAGTGCTCAAGCCTTGGAGCTCCAGAAGGAGGGTGACAAACTGGACCGAATTCCCCCAGGGGAAGACAACACCTCTGTGGTAAGCCAAGTCAGTGAATGCCTTAGCTCCTCCAGTGTCTACAGAGGAAACTTGTGGGACCAGACCCCCTTGCACAGAGATGGATGACCAGTAGCCGTGGCTATTGGCCTCACTTTGGTTGGCACATGAAAGGCTAAGTGAGGAAGACCAAGGGCTGGGACTTCAGATGGAAAGCCTACACCATGAAATTGGGGTGTAGCTCTCTAAGGCCATTTGTAGCTAGGAAGTTGATAGATGTACAAGAAGGATAATAGACATAGCTGCTATACCAGGTTCAGTGGAGGCAGAAAATCAACTTACTCTGGAAACTGGTGACTTGAGTAAGTGTGATTCCAGGAACCCAGATAATAGAAAGAAAGAACTGACTCCCACAGGTTGTCCTCTGATCTCCATAACGTACAATAACAAGACACACACACACACACACACACACACACACACACACACACACACACACACATTTGGAGGCCAGCCTTGGCTACATAGCAAGTACCATTCCAGCCTGGTACTTGGCCTCAAAAATGGTTGTAGACGTTGCCTAGCCGACAGAGCCTGCTTCTGATCCCAGGGGCTTTCCATGACCTAGTTATCCTACCATGACTGGAGTCTCTAGAGGTGGAGACATAAGAAAAGCTACAGGAGAAGAAGATGAGGGTGTATGTGGTCATGTGGTGAGTGAATCTGCACAGAACACAACACTGTGGAAGCTGTACTGTGGGCTTTATGCCACGTCAGGGGTCTGGTTCCTCTCTAAGATCCCCCTCCTCTGCTTCAGTGGGCAGCTGTGAAGCTAGTTCAACCTGTAGAGTCACAGGTGCAGGATGCCGCCCTAGTTCCACCTGCAGAGTACCAGGTGCAGGATGCCGCCCTAGTTCCACCCGTGGAGTACTAGGTGCAGGATGCCGCCCTAGTTCCACCTGCAGAGTACCAGGTGCAGGATACCGCCCTAGTTCCACCCGCGGAGTACCAGGTACAGGATGCTGCCCTAGTTCCACCTGTGGAGTACCAGGTGCAGGATACCACCCTAGTTCCACCTGTGGAGTCCTAGGTGCAGGATGTTAACCACATCCTCAGCTACAGGGAATGACGGAAAATAATGACTCAGTAATATCAAAGGGACAGAGGAGCTTCATTTTTATGAAATAGTCACTAAAAATACAGCAAGAGGAGAGGAAGGAACAAACACGTTGAGGCAACGGCTATAATATGGATGAGGCTTAACTGTTCAGCCATTATTCCAAATGATTATACCAATTTCAGAGTGATTTAATTGACTGCTATCTTCCTCTTGCATGACAAGGAACTGGGAATGCTGTTTCCATGAAGTGATGATGGGCCCTAGAGGAATCTCTAGGCTTATTCTTGAGAGTGAGGGAATGCTGGTGTCCACAGAGCATCAATATGACAATGGGATGTGAGAGCTCCTGGAGGCCACTTCTCTTTGTTTGACATCTGTCCTCTCCTAAAGAGCACACAGACGCTGATGCTGGAGGTTCAGAGGATCCACCTGGCTCAGAGAATTGAGGAATTGGAGTGGGAGCTATCCCTGCTACTTCAGATTTCCAATAGCAGCTCAGGAGCAGAAAGGAGCCGATCCAGTCACAGTGCAAGCCAGAATGTTCCTGAGCCACCGTGGATGCTAAGGTGGCCACCTGTAGGATGCACCGTCTACACTAAGGACACAACTACATCCCCATGTTAGGAAGGAGAGGGTATCTAAGGCTGGGGTCTATGCTCTCTTTTGGAACACCCAGATTTCTATCAGAAGTTGACCTCAGCATGTGCTAAATTCTGCTTTGGTCCTTTGGGATGAAGAAAAATAAAGTTACCTAGAATGAAGAAATCAATGAGTGCTAGCATTCTCTCTCGAAAGCAATGTTGACTGTGTCCTATAGTCTGCCTATGGTCTTAGTTCATGCTGTCTGAAGGTTTCTTGAGGCTTTGGGCCCAGGGTAGGAAGTGCTGTGTTTAGGGCCTGGAGTATAAGTACAGAAAGGCCTACACCCCACTTTCCTTCTTACCTTTCTACTGAGTTCCTAATGCCCTAATGCACTTCCTGGAGGCCCAAACTGCCACGTCCTGTTCTGGCTGTAGTTGGCCTCCTAGATGTCAGAGAGGTAGGTGGTATCCAAAGGCTGGGCGTCCTTAGCCATCCTGAAGGCCTCTAATGTCAGAGACTACTGAGGACAGACAGAGTGACGGCCATACTGCAGTTCTCAGCTCTCTGTGTACACCTGTATGTGATTCCCACGTTAGTTATCTCTGCCATGTGGACCCTCCTTCTGGATGAGTTGCTCAAAGTAGAGTGTGTCTTCTCTCTTTGGACACACACACACACACACACACACACACACACACAGAGAGAGAGAGAGAGAGAGAGAGAGAGAGAGAGAGAGAGAGAGAAACTCACACAGATGCTCATACCCAACTATATACTGTCTCTCATAGGGACATAGAGACAACCAAACTTATTCCCGAACTCACAAGGTCATACAGAAACTCACGCTCAAGTGATCCTCAGATCTGTGTGAAAGGAGCTGACGTATGGCACCACCTCTTGACAGATTATAAGTCACATCAAGAAGCCGCACCGCTTTGTGGGAGAAGTACAGACCCTGGCATGGTGGCACATTCTTGATACTCCTAACACTCAGGAGACTGAGGCAGGAGGATTCTGAATTTGAGAACTGGAGTACCTGCACAGCAAATTCAAGGATAACCCAATTCTTCTTGAAAAGAAAGGAAAAAGTGCAGAACCAACATCAACGTTGGGAATAAACGTGAACAGAAGGGGAGGTTTAAATTTGAAGGACACAAGGCTTCGGCCACAGCCCTGAGCACCAGGGCCAACAAGCTAGAGTGAGCCAGGCTTTGGTTGTGAAAGGAAGGGTCTTGGCTAGGTACAGGAAGGAAGGAGCTTTACACACTTGTGATACAACTGGGAAAAGAGTGACAAAGTCACACCCTGATACTGTCGGGGCAGGGGAGAATCACCTGGGCTCCATTGGGAAGAGGGCTCCACAGAAGGGCGAGCATGGACATTCCCCCTGGAGCTTCCTCTGTTGCTGTGGTTCTATCCCAGGACTTTGGGATTTCTAGGAGACAGCTGTCTCTGTGATGTGACCCTGCTTGGACTCTGAGAGCCCAAGACCTTTTCTCCTATGCAACTGTTCTGGGTTGGATGTTAAAAGGTCCCAAAGGCTTACATATGGAAGGCTGATTTCAGTAAACCCAAGCCTCTGGCACTATTGAGAGGTGATTGGATCATGAAGGCGGTAGCTCCATCAACAGGTTAATTCAACAGGTGCTGTGGGTAGAGCTAGAATAGATGATATAATAGTAGTGATAGAGAAAGGAATTGTCCTCTTCTTCCCTCTCTTCTTCCTTCCTCCTCTTTCTGTCTCCCTCCTTTCTGAGTTCAATGAAGTGACCTGCTCTGGCAGAAGTAGCTCTGAGTGATCTTGAGGAGGTGAGAGGGGACATTGAACCTCTTCCTCCAGAGTAGGCAAGAGAAACACCAGGATCTTGTGTGGACACAGCCTCTGCTTCTAGAACCGAAGCATCAGTATTTCTGACACTCCTATGGAATACCCAACCGCATGAAGTGAATCAGAATATGTGGAAAAGAATAACAGCTTCAATCTGTTTGAATTCAAAGCCATGGAAACCAGAAGCCATGCTCTTTGATTTATTGTCCATTTTGTTTTCTATCTTCTCTCACTGGAAAGCAAGTTTCACAGTTTGGGTCTGTTTCTTAACTGTTACATCCCACCACCTAAAGATGCTACTTGTGGTGGTTTGAATGAACATGCTCCGCACAAGTCCATAGAGAGTGGCACTATTTGAAAAAGGAAGGATGTGTGGCCTTGTTGGAGGAAGCATGGCACTGGGGGTGGGTTTTATGGTTTCAAAGGATCAAGCCAGGTCCAGTGTCTTCTTGCCCTTCCTGCTGCCTGCAGATCTGGATGTAGAACTCAGAGCTACTTCTACAGGTTGCCATGTTCCCTGGCGTGATGACAGTGGACTAAGCCTCTGAATTGTAAGCCAGATCCAGGTAAATGTTTTTCTTGCTAAGAGTTACTGTGCTCACGGTGTTTCTTCACAGCAATAGAACACTGGCTAAAATATTGCTAGCACCAAGTAGGTGTTTATATGTGCCTAAGAGAAGGCACAGAGACCCACTCATTCGAAGGCTCAGGACTCCCATAAGAACACTAAACTGGAAGCCATAATTTAGGCACAGACGACCTGGTCCAGACCTGTGCAGGTCCTGTGCGTGCTTCAGTCTGTGAGTGCATATCAACTCTGTTCATGTCGATTTAGAAGGCCTTGTTTTCTTGGTGTCCTCTCTCCCCACTGGCTCTTACACTCTTCCTGCCTCCTCTTCTGGTGGTTTCCCTGAGCTCTGATGGTGGGGATTTGATGGTTTATGTTTTCCTTTATAAGTTAAATGTTTTCCTTTATAAGAGTTGCTGTGGCCATGGTGTCTCTTCACAGCAATAGAACATTGACTTAGACACTGCTAGCATGGAGAGATCTCATTTAGGGCTGAGTATTCCAAAGTCTCTCACTCTCTGCGTAATGTCTGGCTGTGGGTCTCAGTATTTGTTCCCATCTACTGCAGGAGAAAGCTTCTCTGATGACAGATGAACAAGACACGGATCACAGAATGAGTATAACAGAATGTCTTTAGGGGTCATTTTATCACTACTTTTATTTTCAGACCAGTATTATTTGGTTTTATCCTGGATTCCTGGGCTATCTAGTCTCAGGTCACCCAAGCAGTGTCAGATTTTGGTTTCATCTCATGGAGTGAGCCCTAAGTCAAATCAGTTATTCATTGGTTATTCTCACAAGCCTTGTGCCACCATTGCCCTAGCATATCTCGTAGGCAGGACACATCGCAGATCAGTGGGTTTGTGACTGGCTTGGTGTTTATGTTTCTCCTTTGATAGCTTGTTGAGTACCTTCCTATACCAAAGATGCTAGAATGTAAGGGTGAAAGTTCTATGTAGGTACCAATCAACATCTCTATGTTCAATCTAGGTATTGTCTTCAGCAGTGGAGTCTGTATGGCTTGGGGATTTTTGTTGAGCCTCTTTGGCCAAGAACTCAATTAGATGTAACATAATCCTAGTACTGGAAGCTTCATTGGGTGACAAGAGATGACCAGTGGAAAATCTGTTTCCCCAGTATTTGGTGATTTAATTCAGATCTCCTTTATATATGTATATGTTTTAGGAAGCTTCTGTTGTATTTGGTTTCAATACTAACCCCTCAAACATTGCTTAAATTTAGCTATCTCTCCCAGGATTCCCTTTCACAACTCCCTTTCATCTTCCCATCCTGACTCAATCCTCTAATTCCAGTCACCCCCCATCCTTCCATAGCTATCTTTCTAATTTCCTTTCCAAACAAGATCTATTTGTGACCTCTAGTCCCATACCATATTTATACCCTTTGTGATTCTTATTAATTGTAACTTAGTTATCATTGGCTTCATAGTTAATATCCAAATAAAAGCAAATGCATACCGTATTTGTCTTTCTGGGTCTGGGATCCCTCAGTATGGATAAGCTTTTCTAGTTCCATCCATTTGCCTGAAAATTTCTGTCATTACTCCATTGTGTAAATATACCATATTTCCTTACCCATTATTCTACATGTGGGTCATGTAGGTTGTTTCCAATTTCTGGCTATTATGAGAATAGCAATGAACATGATTGAGTAAATGTCTCTGTCATAGAACAACGTATCCTTCAGGTCCGTGCCCAATAGTAGTAGAGTTGGATCAATGGTGTGGGAGAATTATCTGTATTCTGTCAATCATGTATTTTAATAAAACACTGATTGGCCAGGCGGGAAGTATAGGCGGGTCAACCAGACAGGAAG